GGCGCCGCTGGAGGATACTCTCAATGCCCTCTTGGCGAGCCAGTCGTCAATCAACGCTATCCAGCTAAGTTCGCGGTCCCACCTGCCTTCAGACCTGATCACTTTGATTCCAGTGAGGTAGTTTTCGTTAAGAACGTCCTGTCTGTCGTCAACAAGGCAATGAGCTTGCAGTGCCAACACAATCGAGGACTTACCCTCACGGCCACAAGGGGCCCTAGAAAAATGAACTTCTCTGAATGGCAGCCCTTGACGGTTCAACGAGTCAATCAAGTATTCCGCCGAGGCTTTGGTGCCCTCGATCTTTGCCCAACCCGCGTATGAGACAATATGGAACTCTATGCGGTTCTCCGCAAGCCTTACTAAACTACGAAACTTTTCAACCAAATGGGATGGGAGTTCACCAATTGGGTTTAAAGCTTGGTCTAAGGTATCGTGCCAATCGAGACAAACAACTATATGTTGGATGAATCAATATGGACTACCTGGGACACTAGTCTAGTTGGCTCCTGGTAGCGTCGCGGTCTAGGACCAGCGACGCCCTCAGCTCACTCCGGTGTTGGTTCTGGGAGAGGTCTGCCGCGGATATGCGGCGCCAAGCCAGAACCTGAGCTCTCTTCAGAAGCCTTTGGTGGCTGCTCCTCAGTACCCAACGGAAGTGGGTCTAAGCTTGTGACAACACCTGGGCGCCTAACCTTCTCAACACCGGGCGGTGGAGGCTTAACAGGCTTAGCGGGGTTAGGTGGTGCCGGAGCAGGTCTATCGGGTTTAGGGGGTTGAACAGGTGGAGCTTTCCAAGGTAATTTGGCCTTTGGGGCCTTTGGTGGGGCCAGTGGCTCTAATGGCCGGGGCGTGTCGGGGACAGCAGCCCCCTCCGATCGCCTTGGAACTGGCACCGAGCTCGCTCTCTTAAGGTCACGGCGGGATGCCGGTGTGATCTTATTAGAGATGTTCGCTTCCCTCCCTCTAGATGCTCTTGGTGCAGCTAACGCTGGAGCAGTGTCTGCTGAGGGTGCTCTACTTCTAGACCTAGATGTGGGACTTGCGGCCGGTTCGGATGCTGCACTTGTCGCGACAACAGGCTGTTGCTCAGCGACCTCAACTGGCTCCTGGTTCTGTTGCGGCGGCTGTGCACGCCACGGAGGAACACTACCTCTAAGAGATGGCGCACTAAGAGATGGAACGGCTGTTGAGGGTGCTGATGTGGATGATGCAGCAACTTCGGCCTTAGCCTTTGCAGGTTTAATGTCCCTTTGCACCTGTGAGATTCTGATATTTACTCTTGGCCTTTTGGGTGGCGATTCCACAGGTCTTGTAGGAACGCGCTCTGCAATCTCAGCTTCAATAGGCCCTGGTTGGTTGTGAAAGGCAGCACCAGACGCAGTAAAACATTGAACTGCAGTCTCAGGCGTTTCTGAACCTTCGGACTCTGTAGATGGGTTATCTGTGGCAATGTTGACTATTGTAATTGGGTCTGAATTGCCAGTTCCGAGGATGGTTCGATGAGCCCGCAATGAGGGGTCTCTCCAAACAGAATCAGGGAGTCTATGTGGATCGACTAAAACCTCAGGGTATTGGCCTTCACCCCTTGGGACTATGTAGGGGAGTGTCTGTGGCGCGTACGCGATCGGAGGATCAGCGACCCTTGCACAAGTACCTGTCGGATCGAAGCGGATTTCGGGATACCTTTGACCTTGGGCCCTGGGCACTAGATTAACTGGAATTGGGGGATCTGACATATTTCTTTTTGGCCGACGTTGACGGGTGGAAGTTTCACGGCCGCGGGTTGGAAAGTCAGGGAATTCCGGCTCTTCCTCCTCCACTTCTACCACAACATCTTCTTCCCTTGGTTCCTCCTCCTCTACCCACTCCCCTTCTTCAACAGGCTGAAGATCGTTGGGATCCCCTGGCTGTCCCTCTCGCGCCTCTGCTGGTTGGGAACTGCGGGCAGCGAGCTCCTCAGCAGATGGTGGCGGATGAGATGGTGGGGCTGGAATAGTATCACTTGGTGGTGGATATTAGGAGGTGCTAAAGGTGGTGGACTAGGGGCGACACTGGGTGGTGGCGGTGGCAGATTACGGATTCTATCTGCAAGGGTTTCAGCAGCTTTAGGTTCAGGAGCTTTGGGCCTAGCTTTAGCGGGTGGCCTAGCAGGGCTACTAGCAACTGGAACTGCTGCGTCGCCCCCGGAGGCTGCGACCCCTTGAGAGGGTGACTTAGGTGGTTGTGGGACCAGAAATAGTGACCTTTGGTGCCAATTAGGTGGCGGATGACCTGGCTGTTTGGGCTCCTTTGGAACAGGGGGCTCCGCCGGAACTGCAACAGGTGCCTCTGTCCCACTCCTCAGCTCTGGGATGCTCTACACCTAGAACCCTCAAGTTGATGATTCTTGTGGGAAGCAAATCACCTGAGTCGATAACCTGACGACCGTGAGCAACTCCTCGACGTCTATCCAGCCCGTGTTGATGGGCCCAGTCTTGGTAAGAAGTAAACACGTTATAAGCGATGGCCAAACAGTTTGAGGTTGTAAATTCTTCAACAATCTTGGAATGTAAAGCAATTACCCACCGTTGGTCCTCACTAGCTTGTTCGTAGGGGATCCGGCGCAACCAGAAACCCCTGCTGATGCTTCCCCCTGAATTGTGATAAAGCCAGTTATGATATGCTTCGAAATCAACCTACCAACCTCTTCGTGCTTCTTGCCAACGTGTGGTGGCACCTCCCCTGCTGAATCTTACCCTAGTTCTTGGAGCTTTAGAAGGGGCAGATGGGGAATGACCTACTTGAATAGGTTCGGTACCTGGGTCAACAAGATTAGGACTAGTTGGTGGTGGGACTAATTCAGAAGTATCGGCAGTTGTGGCTTCTGTCGTGACACCGGAAGTGTCAGCGACCAAGGGCTCAGGCACGGATGCAGATGGTTCGGATGCTTCGGCAGGTGGGCCTTCGGCTTCCACTTCTGCCTCAACTTCAACACCTACTGAACCTGCCTCTGCACCTAACCCTAAAAGATCGGTTTCTTCAATCTATTGTTCGACTTGCTTGGAAGGTGACGGCGGAGAATGTCGTTCAAGATCTTGTTCCTCTTTTGCACGATCGAGGTCCGTGAAAGCAGCTTCGGCCGGATTATCCGCGTGAGGCTGTTCTTCCAAAAATTCCTGATCAAGAGTCTGACCCTGTCCAACGTCCTCCGTCGCGACGTGATCGTCAACGACCTCCCCGGGCAAGCCAATTGTTTACAACACTGCACCCAGGGACTGCGCCTCTTGAAGTTCCTGCTCCTCCTCCTTGACGGGAATGAGTTCAGCAGTTGCAACGTCACCAGAAGGCGCGGTCGAGTCCAATACCTCAGAAAGATCGGCCCAGCTTTGGGAACCTTCGGCTACCGGGTCAACAGTCGACGGAGCAGACTGCTCAGCGTTCCCTGCTTCACCAGCCGCCTCGGATCCCTCCGCTGGCGTTTCCTGAGTCGCGCTGTGATCAGCAGCGACCTCCTCCGATCCGCCTGAAGGCATGCAAGAGTGACAGCGAAAAAGTGCGAAAACAAACTTAGGGCCTAAGCAGGTTTTAGCGGATTAGGTTCCCCAACAAAAGAAACAAGCCTTACGGCTGATAACCAGTCAAACAGGGGGCCGAACCGAGAACCCAGCAAAACAAGGAATCCCAATCCGCCAAACCCTGCATGAAATACCAAATGCCCCCTTTTACCTCGGGGCACTTGAGCCATCGCGTCGATGACATAGAACCAACCCGAACCCTGGTGGTTGTTAGGGTAAGGGGTAACTGGGCCTTCTCGTCTCTGACTGCGGCTCTGCTCTCTATCTACTTACTGCTTTTAAGTAGTAGGTGCAATATCTGTACATATCGGAGATATCTACTTGGAACTACGTTGGGCTCATAGCTAAGGCATACCTACACTAGACCTACCTGCACATGCTATACATGGTGGGGCTCAGGGTCGATATATTTCAACTATATTATATAATATATAAAATATAAAATAGTGTGTAATATAATATGATATAAGATAATATATATATATAAGTAAAATAGCATATAGTATCATATCATATCAAATAATATAGTATCATATCATATCATAATTTATATATATAATAAAAGATATAATATATTGTCTATATAATATATAAATTGTTTATATTACAATATATATATATATATACAAATTTATTATATTGTTTAAAATATATTGATATAATACTATATATATATTGTTATAATATATGTATAAAATAATATATATATATATATGATCCCGTCTTCCGCCCGCGAGGTCACCCCCCCTCCCCCCCGAATGGGATGGGTCCCCAGGTAGCACCGACCTGCGTAGCACACATACTCCCTCAAAGTCCCTGCGTGCTATCTATAGTTATATATACATGTGCTATGTATCTACTTCCTATATATGTGTATATATATATATATGTATATATATATACATGTTATAGATACATACATATGTATATATATATATATTCATATTCGTATTTAAATAAATATATATATATATATATACAAAACATGTCTATACATATATATATATACACACATATATACATATATTCAAATATATATATATATATACATATGTATATATATATATACGCAGTACCACACCCCCACCACACCACAGGGGGGCCGGGGAACATAGCTCCTGTATACCCATACCCATCCCTACTACTAACTACTACTAACTACTACTAACTACTACTAACTACTAACCCCCCCACCCCCCTACCCACCCACAGGGGGGGACCTGGGAGGCTGCATCATATATATATATATATATATTATATGTGTGTGTACGTACATTGAAAATCCTTGAAATATCTTGAAATATATTTGTGAAATTCTACCAGGTCTTGGAGCAGCGTCGTGAGTTACTCCCTTTCTGATTTCCTCCTTTTCAATCAGGTCTGACACAAATGGACTCCATGATGCAGTTGCAGGGTGTAGCGCTTGTGGCGAGTTCTCCAAGGTACGTCTCTCACGTCGTGCCTGCAATTGCCGAATGTGTTCCTTGCACGCAGTGATGTCGAGGCCTGAGAAGCAAAGAAATGTCTGCTGCGCATGTGTGTGCCTGTGTGTGTGTGTTTGTGTGAGTGCTTGACTATGTTTGTGTATTGCCTCTAGCTACCCAAGGACTTTAGTGTCCTCATTGTTCGAGTTTTGTTCATTTGTGTCTCAAAGGAAATGTGTGCACGATTGTGTTCTGCTCCTATCTACAAGAAAGATAAAGCAGTTGCTATCATTGCTATTATTTGCTGTTTCCGAGAGATCTACGTGAAGGCAAAGGTTCTGACTGTGTAAGCCTTCCAACAAGTCACTGGAGTCATCTGCCTTAGCAGAGGGCGTGGGGCTGTCAGGACATGTCAAGCAGAAAAGGACATGAAAAGGACATCAAGCCGAGAGATCGGACAGACAAATCAGACAGGTTGACACAGTGATTGATACAGTGCCAGCAGACAGAATACAAAGGTAGAGCGAACCCTGCAGAGTTCGAAGATATCCTTAGATATCGAAATATATCAAAAGAACATCTAGAAACTTCCATGATCAAAACATGCTTTCCCAGATCTGGTCATATGATGAGCCAGGGTGCCATGAGGCCAGCAGACGTATCGGTCGTACAGCTAGAATGCCATTGCGAAGTTCAGTTTTTCTCTGGCCAAGAGTGAGTCGTGCAAAAGGGTAAAATTACCAAATCTTTGTCGTGTTGCAAGACACTCACCTCTTCGCTATTCACTCGCTAGTCTCAAAATCAGCTCTTTTGGTGGATCATGACACACGTCAAGCGTTTGAGCCCTGTAGAAATGAGACTGCTGAGCTGCACTAGTTCTCCGCATTGTCAATGTTTGCCTTGTGCCTGCAAAAGTTCCACCGGCTCTTGTGGGGCGCTTGACATTGCAGTTCGATCGGAGGCGGTTTTTCCTTCCTCCGTCGGCATCTGAGCCACAGCCAATGACATGCAAACGATTCACGCTGACACCATGTAAAGCAAAGGAAAAGGCACCATATTTTATAATCCTGAAGAAAACAATAAAACGTCTCGGGATTGCCAAGTTGCACCACACTCTGGATGAGTTGGGACGGTGGGAAGTTGGTGGGGAGTGGGTGGGGAGTGTGTCTGTGAGACTCTTCAACAAATCCTCACTGCACACGGCTCCGCTGCTCCGCTCTTCGTTTTTGTGCTCATCGCGGTACTCCGCAGCCCATGGCATTGACCTTCTTCAGCCGCCCCAGGGCTTTCCACAGCTCCGGGCTTGCCTGCAAGGAGCATTGCTCCATGCACGCCTCAGTGCAAAAATAAACTGCCACCATCCGTCACATCGCCGTATTCATAATTGTCGCATGTCCTGCACATATATAATTATTTTGAATGCAGTTGGGAGGTAAGGGGAGGTGGGGGGGAATCGCTTCCGAACAAAATCCAACTGTGTGCGAGAGTTGAACATCCCAACAGCAAGAGTAGTAGCAAGCGCCAATTTTTGCATTATTTTCACATAAGGATCCGTAAGGCATCTCTAAGCAGCCAAATCTGAGTGCCAAGCTTGGCCCTGGGTGTTGAAGGACCTAGGCAGGAGTGATTGCGGATCCCAGTGTTGAATGTTGTGTTTGTAACCATTTGCAAATAGGCAAACGTCTCTGTTGAGACGGGGATCTCTGTGTGTGATTGTGTGTGTGTGCGCGTGTAAGGTCTGAGGTCACAAAGTCCCAAAAGCATCCCTTTGACAATTGTCGGGAAGTTTTCTTGAGTGTTGAGAAAGAGCGTTGCAACATGCAACTTTCAACAGTCTAAGAGAGTTTTGCGTGACAGTGCAGCAAACCTATCTGAAAGGCTCACAGCTTGCAAAAACCTGTACTGATGAATCTTAGCTGGCGACACTGAGCGAGGTTGCCTCGGTCACAGCTCTTCTGGTCAAGATCGCAAAGTCTGCAGAAGCCACGTCAACATCGGCCCGACTCCATCCACTAAATGCTTGGCTGCCCTCATGGAAAATCACAACAGTGCCTCACTAGTCGTCACTATCACTAGAGTCGTTGGATATCACTGATATCACCCTACTATAAGCTCACGTCGTGACGGTCGTGACGGTCGTGACGGTCGTGACGGTCGTGACGGTCGTGACGGTCGTGACGGTCGTGACGGTCGTGACGGTCGTGACGGTCGTGACGGTTGCGGTCGTGATTCTGGGGAGCCCAGGCCACGGTGGTCTCCAGGAACCAAGATGATGGCCTTTCAACCTGACTCTCGGATGCTATCGGGTCAAGGGGGCAGGAAACTTGCCATCCCACAGTCCCAAACTATAGATACAACTTCACAGGTTACTTGGATTGCCGGCTGTAAGGTATTGTAAGATGGCAATGGCATGCATGCCCATTTGCTGAAAATGACATTGGAAACTGCAAGCTAGGGACTCTCCACAGGCATGGAAACATGTGAATCTTTTTGGGTGAGTGAAAGGACGTGACAAGTGAGTAAGTAGTACACCCAAGCTGCTGACAAGTCGAAAGCATCCAAAATGCCATTCGACCATAGGACCTTGGACTTGTGAGACACTTCCATCAGTTGAATCACTAGATTCGAGATGAGCCACTTCAAGTCCTAAACCTGCAAGCCCTGCAAGTCCGTGTCTTTCCTCAATCCCATAGCTTTGGCAGACTCGCAGCATCCAATGAGACGTCACATCCACTACATGAAAGGGACACATCACACAACGACCTCAGTCAGTCAGACAAACTCAAGGATTGCTTTCTCAGCCCACGACCAAAAGTTTTCCGGTGTTTGCCTTCAAGGTAAAGCTCACTTGCTCACTTCAGAGCGATTTCTCACATTCACGTCCATTAGCATGAGATGTTCAAGGGGGATTGCTCAAAGCCTTGCTGGGTCTGGCTTCAGGGAATCTGGGAGCCTCCATAGAAAGGCTTGAAATTTCAGCCTCGGTGCAATGTGCTGAAGACGACAAGAGCTCATCCATTGTCCCTTCATGGCCGCACCCGCCATCACAAACTAGAAACCCGTAGCAACATCTAGCAACCAAGCAATGCACTTTGTCATCTGTGGGCCCTGACCAAACATGGTTGAGGGATGGTGTTGGCCAAGAGGTCAAACAACGGCAATACACTGGTGGTGGCCTTGGCACCTGCAGTGGCACATCACCCATTTGTCAATTTCTGTTGCGCTTCCAAGGCTTCTATGCCGCTATGGACTTGGTTCCTTGACAATCCAAGACGGCGCAAATCAGAAGAGATACAGTTTAATGTTTGAAGGGAATTGTCAAAGTTGTCCTTTCCTGGGGAACTGAATGTTTGCTGAAACAAAGAGCGAGTAGTCAATGAGAAGGATGGCATCGGTGGCATCCTTTGCATCAGAGAAACTTGAGACGGGGGACGAAAGGTAGGTGGGGGCATATCTCTCAACAACTTTTTGCGCTCATCCTGTTTCAATATCGAACTTTCCCTTCCCCCTAGGTGCCTCTCAGTTTCCTGCATCCATTTCGCTCCATACGTAGACTTCCCCCATTGGCCTCTCCACCACTTCTTACGTTTTTGTTGTTGCAATATCCGAACTTCCCCGGCATCAACAACTTCTTGCATGCATCTTGTCCCAATATCTAAATTCCACCCACCCTGTGCCATAGTCAGTAATAAGAACCACAAGCAAGATAATGTTAGTCAGTTTGTTCGCCAACTATGTGAATTAGAGGGGCCAAGGTGCCTCAACCGATGGACGCTCGGTTGAGGCACTTTGCGTGTAGGGATAGGTCTTTAGGGATGTAACCTTCATGCGACTAAGTGCGTGAGGATGCCCGAAGCAAAAGCAACATCAAGAATTGCAGGGGACGAAACCGCCCTTGTTTCGTGGGAACTATTAAAAGGCTTGTGGCTCAGGGATAAATGTCGCTGCGAAGGGACATACTGCTATTGTTTTCTTATCTAACATGAGCATTGTCCATGACCTGTGAAGAACATCGAGCGGTCTCGTAAAGTATTCCAGTTGGGGCATGGAGCTCAGCTGCGTGTCTGTGATATGCGAAGAGCACCAAATTGCTTCTTATTGAGCAGAAAAAAATTGCCATGGCAACAGCATCAAAGTAGGCAGGTGCAAACAGCCATTGCAATGGACTGTCTTCTGTCATGACTCTAGAACGCAACGTACATGGATGGGAATTGCATGCGTGCTGGGTGAAACAGGATGCGCGTGCGCTGAGGGGTATCAGAAGAGGTTGAGGTAAATAGGAAAACTTTTGCACACGCAAGTCATCCTTCCTTCCTTCCTTCCTTCCTTCCTTCCCTGCCTTCCTTCCTTCCTGCCTGCCTGCCTTCCTTCCTTCCAGAAAATGACAATACAGTAACCCATATCGAGGAGATTGTAACGCGCAGCTTTTTCCCTGTGAGTGTGGGCACCAACCGATCCGGATAGTAAGCGCTAGTCAAAGTGACAGAACGTCGCTGCAGAAGATCGCGCGCGTCAACTCAGTCGGGGCACGCACAACCTGAACCCATGCAGACCTTCAGAGCACTCTGGGCACGCTTGAACTGGGGCTCGCAGGGGCTGATGCTTGCGCATTGAGATGGGGTCGGCGCTCCTGGGTGAAGCCCTCAACAGTAGTGGCCAAGCAATAGGCTATCTGAGAGTTCGAGGCGATTTTCTGCTTGTGCACTGCACATCTAGAACATACTGTGCTTCAACTGGCAGCCGCAATGATGGTACATTAACCCGTATCTGGAAACTTATCACTTGAGGCTAGCAGCGGAGCCAACAATATACATGGCTGAATCCGGACCAGGGAGGAATCGAAGGGTGGGGGGAGTTCCAGCCGTCAATTTCCAGGAAAGGATCAACCACCTCCCCCAGTACTAAACTAGTACTAAGGTACATAGAACTCAGGTAGCCTAGGCTACCTTTCGTGAACTGCATGGCCAAGTTCCTGACCATTGCCCAAACTTTGGGGAAAGGGTACCACCTCAGGACAGAGAAATGTAACATGAGACGATTCAATGCATCTACTGTATAAGTAAAATCCAAGCAGCAGCAACCGGCAAACGTCGTCCATCCCAGCCTGCAAACCTCACAAAGACAGAGTCTGTGTCAAAACTGAAGAGTTTGCATATGATATGTGTACAAAGGTATACCAAAAAAACATATACATACATATACATACAATGTGAATCATGAGGTGCCTTCATATGGTATGAAGGATGCTGTGTGTTCTTGTGTCCCAAAACAAAAAAACATGTGTGACAAAAGTGTCAAACTGAGTGCCAATGCGCCACAGCCATATGTACTCACCAAGGTTGGAACAAAAGGCACCATTCAGAGCCAGAGATGTCTTCACCTCTTGAAGTGTTGAATCTGTCACTTTCACTCTTGCCAATGTGATCACGGTTCTGTCAACTCGGGCAGACTTCCGTTTTCAAACGGATGGATCAAAGACATTAGGTGAAACTACTTGAAACCATCTTGATCAAATATCGTTTCTGTGGTGAAAAATGTTTGTTTTTGCAAACGAACCTGGCTAGGCACATGGTCTGTCCGACTTATGGAGACTACAAGTACTTCATGGTACACAAGCAACATCGTGATGAACCTGGGAGTGTCAGTTATTTGCTCTTGTCGGTTTATGCAAGAGAAGATGCAACTTTGCACAACACTTGACATGGGTCTGCTGGCAAAGGGAGGCGTCAACACTAGGCACCTAGCATACACTATATCGAACATGGCAATGGAAGAAGAAGGCACGCCGGAAGCAAGATACAAGGCGCAAGAAGAAAGCAAGGTGCACGAGCAAACAGCAAGCAAGCAAGAACAAGTATTTAAGAGAGGCAAGGAAAGCAAGAGCAAAGGCAAAAGAAAGAAGAGAAACAGAAAGCAAGCAGCACGACCAAAAAGCAAGCAAGCAGCAACAGTAACAGCAATATTTTGAGTTGGAGCGAGTGTCTTCTCGGTTCAGAAAGCAACAGTGGCACGAACAGCTGCCGACCAGAGGCGCGATCTGCCCTTCACTGGCATGCTGTTTCAGTGTGGCGACACCAACTTTTGAGGGGCTGGGAAAATGGAATTTGAAGCTCGTTTCTTGTAGGTCAGAAAGCAACGTTACGCACTACCAACTGCAGACCGGAGGCACGATCTGTCTTTCACTGACATGCGGTTTCAATGTCGCGACACCAGCTAATTGAAGGGCTTGGAGACCTGGAATTTGGAGCTTGTTTCTTGCCGGTGCAGAAAGCAACGCTGGGCACTACCAGCCCGGAGGCATGATCTGTCGCTCACTGGCATGCTGTTTCAGCGTGGCGACACCAGCTATTTGAAAGGCTTGGAATATGTAATCTGGAGCTAGTTTCTTGTCGGTGCAGAAAGGAACGTTAGGCACTACCAGCTGCAGAAAGGAGGCACAATCCGTCTTTCACTGACATGCTGTTTCAATGTGGCGATGCTAGCTTTTCCCAAACAGCGTGGCCACACTGAAGGGTTCTTACGGTAACAGTTAAGGCCCGGTGTTCAATCGAGGTGGTATCCGTCGCGTTTGGCATTTTCCCTGCAAATTTCAGCAGGCAATGGCTCTTGTGAAATGTCCATTTGCATGTCGACTGCGCAGGCTGGCACAAGACGATGGCCGCGGGCGACGCGTCCGGCATTGTTCCTGTAAATTTCCACACAAACTGGCTCTTGTGAGATCGCCCGTCCAACCCTCTCGTTACTTTGGGCCTGTCAGATCGCTCTCGCTGTGGCGCGGTGCTCATTTTGAGATCCCTCGCGTCATTTGGGCCTGTCAGATCGCTCTCGCTGCGGCGCGGCGGTGCTCATTTTGAGATCCCTCTCGTCACTTTGGGCCTGTCAGATCGCTCTCGTTGTGGCGCAGTGCTCATTTTCCTGGTCAAGGAGATCTTCTACAGAGTTCTTGACAAGGAGGTCTCTTGTAGAGAGCTTGCGCAGAGATCTTGTACGGAGACCTCTTGTAGAGATCTTGTACAGCGATCTTGCCAAGAGATCTCTTACAGAGATCTTGCCAAAAGAGCTCTTATAGAAAGCCTGTACAGAGATCTCTTCGAGTCTTGCTAAGAGACCTCTTTTAGAGTTGTACACAGATCTTGCCAGGCCACCGCTTCTGGAGATCTTGTACAGAGACATTGCATAGAGATCTATTGCAGAGATCTTGCCAAACAAATCTTGCCAAGAGAGCTTTTATACAGAGCTTGTACATAGATCTCATACAGAGCTTGCCAGGAGATCTCTTATCGAAATCTTGTCCAGAGGTCTTGCAAAAAGACCTCTTCTAGAGACCTGTTGCAGAGATCTTGCCAAGAGGTCTCTTACATAAATCTTGCCAAGAGAGCTTTTGCACAGAGCGCGCACAGACATCTCAAAAAGATCTTGCCAAGAGATCTCTTATAGGGATCTTGCCCAGAGGTTGCGCCAAGAGACCTCTTATAGAGCTCTGTATAGAGATCTTGCCAAGAGGTCTCTTATAAAGATCTTGCCAACAGGGCTCTTCTAGAGATCTTGTACAGGGATCTTGCCAGGAGAGCTCTTATAGAGATCTTGTACAGGGGCCTGGTGCAGAGAGCAGAAGTATTGCTCGGAGATCTTTTTTAGATAGCTTGAACAGAGATCTTACTTTGAGATCCTTGCAAAGATCTTGTATGGAGATCTCCTATAGACACCTTTTACACATAGCCTACACCGGGATCTTGCACAGCAGCTTCTACAGAGAACCTCTCAAGGAGATCTTGCGCACGAATCTTCTTTACAAAGGGAACTTGCAGAATCTTATCTGCTACCTCTTCTTCCAGAGACCACCTTGACTGAACACCATGCTTTCACTACAAGGGTCGCTCTTGTCCTGCTAGCTTGCAGCCACTGGTGATTTTAGGTCCTTTCCACCTTTCCCTTTAGCATCCTCACTACACACTGTTTGGGGTCTCTTCCCGGGATAATTTTTGGGGCTTGGCACATGAAATTTGGAACTAGCTTCCTGCCGGCGCCGAAAGCAATGCTGTTGCAGTGCGGCGACACCAACTTCTTTGAAGGTTTGGAGAACGGAATTTTGAGCTAGTTTTCTTGTCGTTAGGCACTACCAGCTGCAGACCGGAGGCACGATCCGTCCTTCATTGGCATGCTGCTTCAGTGTGGCGACACCAGCTATTTAGGGGGCTTGGAGAATGGAATTTGGAGCTAGTTTCTCGTCAGCTCAGAAAATACCGGCTCGGAGGCGCGATCCGTCCTTCACTGACACGCTGTTTCAGTGCGGCGACGCCGGCTTTGACAAGGCTCGAATTATGCAATTTGAAGCTCCTGGAGCTAGTTTCTTCTCGGTTCAGTAAGCAACGTCATAGGCATTACCAGCTACAGGCCGAAGGCACGATCCGTCACGCCTTCGCAAGGGTTCACATGCTATGCTTGCCATCTTTCTTGGCGACATGTCTTGCCAGCTGGAGTTCTGTGTTTTATTTGGCTTTGTCCTTCGGCTTGCTGCTGGCACGATGTAGAGATTGCCCCATGCTTCGGGAGCGTATGTTCGGAGATACGGCCAGAAATGGCCACGCGCACGAAACCATTTGCCACATGAACTGCGATTTCTCTGGCCCGTGCGCACTGTGCCGGACACAATGGGCACCTGTATTTGTAAACAGGAACTGCGCTTGTTTGGTCTTGGGGCGCGATCTGCTGCGCACCTAAAAAATGTTAAAAAAGCTGATTTAATGAAGTTTTCTAAACTCAAATTATAGCAGTATAACAACTCAAAAATTATTCACAAAAAAAAGAAAAAAAACATAACAACCAACCACAATTACCTCATTCATTCCATAAAATCATAACAACCTACCATTTCCACTACCCCATCCATTTTATAGAAATCATAACAGTCAATTTATATCCATCTCATTCATTCCTCATAAATCATCACTACTAACCATCTATTACCTCATCCATTTTATAGAAATCATAACAGTCAATTCATCATCACCTCATCCATTCCATACCCAAAACAAAACAACAACCCAACAAACAAAAAAAACAAACCCAGCAAAGAACAACATAAAGAACAAAACAATAGACCACAATAAAGACAAACCCTTAACCTTTAAAAATCCCATCTTACAAATCCATAATTCGAATAAATAATTATTAGAAATATGTTAGGAGTAAATGTCTTCAATAATGACTAATTTAAAATGAAATGCCTGTATTCCTATTGTACTATCTTTATCTCGGTCTTCTTCTATATCTTCCTGTATTTCTTCAACTGCTTTCTCTAATATTTCATCTATATTATCTTCATCTACATATTCATCAAAGTCATTCATAAAATAAATTTCTCTATAACTAAATTCATTTTCTCCATATTCCTTTTCTGGGAGTTTTGCCACTAATTGAACTTCAATATCAAGTTTAACTTTATAACCTAAATCATCTTCTACTTCTTCATAGATTAAAGATAATTCTTCTTTTTCTTCTGTTATTATGTTTTCTATACTTTTCAAACTAAATGGCACTCCCTCTCTCATAGTACAGTATTCAATTATATATATTTTTTTCTTGATTTTAAATGTCTTGTTATTTTAGGACCAAGTCTTGAAATCTTATATTTTATCAGTATATACTAATTTGATATTATCTTTATATTTTGGTTTCATTACATAATAATAGAACGAATACATATGAATTTTAGAATAGTCTAAAATAAACATACCCATGTAGATAGGTTTGTTTAGTTCCACTGTGTGTTTTTCTTTCTCAACAATTACAAGATCTTCATTTATAATATGCCTGTGTTTGAATAGTGGTTTATTTACCAGTTTTTGGAAGCGTTCAGGTGTATTAACTAACTCATAATCACCATGCTTTCTGACATCTTCCATGGTCTTGCCATATACACTGTTATTCATTAGCTTAAATAATTCTTTTTCAAAATCATGTTTGGCATTCTTTCTCTTTTCAGTGTTGAATTCAATAAATGGTGTTAAGAAGTTTGCTTGTTTAAAACTTATTACTCTATGGACTTTTCTTAGTGATAATCCATGCTGTACAGTAAATAAAACTTCAATGCTGATATATGTAAAACATATTTCTTTTTATCCATGACATTTAATACTAATTTATTTGACTTTTCATCACTGGCATCTTTACCATAATAATATTTATGTATATCTGTTTGGACTTGTGAAAGCATACTCTCATTAATACTCATAATTTCGGGTGCTAATGGATAGTCTTTATGTAAATCATGTAGTTCTTTTGGATAATCCAAATCAACTTCTAATATATATCCCATGTCATCATCATCATCATCATCATCACTATATTTCATTACTCTCTTCTCATCCATTCTACCGTAATACCATTTAAAATCATCATAAGGTAGTTTCTTACACATTGCTAATCCATAAAGATTATTAGCATCTAAATAACTTATATATGATGATGGTTTAGATTTATCATAATCTTCATTCATATATTTATTGTTTGCTTCTACTTTCTTATGAGAGCATTGTGTCATTCCTCCTCTTAAACCATGTTCAATCATCTCATATATTTCTTTTATATGAATTTGTTGAAGTCTAGCTCCTGTTAATGATAAAAAGGCATTCCAAGAATAATTGGGTAAAGTTATATAATATGCTGGGTCTAATCCATAATAGTTTAAACACATATCCCTAAAATTTTCAAATACATCAGTTAATAAATATACATCAGTCATCAAGCATAAATCATGATATCTCCAAGGTTTTTATGTTAAAATGTTTCCATACAATATTTGCTCTGGCATAGTCTTTGTCAGTGATGTTTTCTTCGTATAATTGACTGTAAAAGTCTTCTTTCTTTGGGAGTTTTGTTTCATTAAATTTATCAAATGAATTCATTGTAGTCGTATGGAGCAACAACAGCAACAACAGCAGCAACAACAGCAACAACATCAGCAGCAACAGCAACAACAGCAACAACAGCAACAACAGGAACAGGAACCACAACCAGGCCCCTTGGGGCATCGCCAGTATGCGAAGCCCTACAATATGCTGTTGCTCAACGAAAGCATTTTGTAGTATGCTCAACAGAAAGTTAATGACCCAGTTGCAAAAGCCTACTTTTAGCTTGTGTCTTGGATGTGTTCAGGAAGTCTGCGACTAGTTGGTCTGGACTTAGCCCAATCACTAGAGCGGGACAAAAAGAACTCTAGTTTGCACATGTTTGGACCATGTCCTTTACTGGAAGCAGCAAAAAGTTCGCTGCTTATCCAGCCTAGTTTTAGGATCTTGCATCGCAGCACTGCACCGCTGATCTTTTGCATGAGCCTGACACAGGTTCTTCAAAAGACTGCAGTACTTGTTCGGCGTTGCATGTTTTCAAACAATTGAGAAGTAATTTATCAATTTATCAACAGCTGCTTCTTGCGCCCTCATCAAGCAATGTTGCTTCATGTTTTACAAGCTACACATGCAAACGAGCCATGCCCATTCTAGGAATTCTAATCCAGATTGACTCCATTTGGAGCCAACGCTGTTTTTCCTTGAATCTGAAAGAGAGCCTTTTCACTTCAATATATTTACCATCTTTTACCATCTTTACCATCTTTTACCATCTTTTACCATCTTTTACCTTGAAAGCTCAAACTGGTTAGCATCTCGACCGCCAGATGTTCAGATTCCCCGCCTAACGTCCGGCATCAACGAAGCACTTACCTACTGAGCTCAGGAGTTTACAGTGTGGACATCTTTGGACTGTGGAGATGAGGAGTGGGACACAAAGTTTGATCAGAGTCACAATGAATCCGTGAAGGTCAAGTTTGTGAGTCTACAAGCTCCGCATAGTTTTACACTCCATAAGTCTACATTGTGATCTACCAAATGCATCCAAATGCAATGTTCTGATACCAATGAGAGCGGTTTTGTAAAACAGTTTGCCAGCAGCTCGAGTTTTGTTTCCTACTTGTCCAACACTAACACAACACAGCGGTATATTTTCGGAGATATTGACAAATACAGTTGAATACTATGTTCTCAAGTTCTGAATACATCATGAATACATATGAATACGTATGAACCCGCATATATGAATATCTATGAAGGCTCAAGCGCATTCCTGATCACATTCCGCCTCCAAGTCCTCCTTCTGAGTTCTCAGCTTGAGGCCATCACCAACCTAAAACGATTAAAACAACAGAGACAGAAAAAGTCTTTAGTTAGGCTTGCTCAATCGCATTTCTGGGTTGACGACCACATCAAGGAAGCAAGGGTCAAGAGCCTGCAAAATAGAGAAAGAGAGAGAGACTCATTTAGTAAGTCCTTTCGCACAAGTTGCAAAGGAAAAGTCCAGCCTCATTGTCCGGGCACAGTATTGAAGACGAAATCGACGACCTGAAACTCGCAACGCCACTTGACTGCCAATGAAACCGATGATGCTCTGGACGGATCTGACCTCAGACGTCCACAAACCACTCAGAGCCCCTCCCACATCTTAGTCACCAGCAGGCTGATATTCTTTGCAGCCTCAAGGTCAAACGTGAGGTTTGCGAGCAACGCCAAAAAGTGTTGTGATTCCAAGGCTTTTTGGCTCCTCTAAGCTTAGTTTCGTGTTCAACCACATCAACATCAAGAGAAGTTGCAGAACCATGGATTTGAAGCAGGCGTGACATGGCCCTCATAGCAACACGGCCCTCTTTCTTTTGAATTTCAATATAGCTCAATCATCTATGGTTTCAAAACTCAAAGTGAATGCAACCCCTCAAAACTGGAAAACAAATGACTCACACAGTCTGCAATGATATGACAGTAAATTCTTTGGACTACTCACCCGCAGTGGATACCTCGAAGGAAACCGTCGTACTGGCGAATGTTGAGGCCTGGGACGCATGAACTATCATCGAGCACGTGAGAACATGAGACCCAAGAAGGAAAATCTTAACGTTAAATACATAAGTTCAAAGCACATAACAAATATCATACACATTCATACACTGCATAGTGTTCCACAACTTTATATAAGCAGATTTTCAATGTGATACTGCAAGCTTGTCAATCCTTGCACAGGCTTACACACAAAATCTCAAAACACAAATTTCAGACCTGGCAGACCTAGTCGTGCCTTTGATGAAACAGGAAGGGTCACGTTAGTGCGAAGACGTTTCGCAGTTGTTCAAAACACGCACTAGTTCGAAAACATTGCAGTTGCATTTGGTCATTTTCATGCACAATACTATTCAGCTACGTTATGTCCATCCATGAACAAACCTGACTACTGAATATATTTCATCGTTGAGAGGGCATGACATAAAAAACGATCCAGTTCGAACACTTCAGTAGCACTTTACAAGACACCGAAATTTTGAGGCAAACACATTCCAAACTGATGAGCTCCCATCAGTTTTCACTCGCGTGGTCAAATGCAAATTGCAGCCTCACCAGTGCAAACATCTATCCACTACTGACAGTGCTACTAATCAGCCACTGACCATGCCTTCAGAAGCTGGATGGCAAGACCTTAGAAAGAGGAGCTGCCATCAGCTGTGTCATCAGCTGTGTCATTTGATCTGTCATGACAGGTTGCTGGGTTGTAGCTACATGCATTCTTTAGCGCTCAAGAATCAGAGGCAACCCGAGGCCAGATTGCTCTTGGCACCCTTGGCACCCTTGGCACCCTTGGCACCCTTGGCACCCTTGGCACCCTTTACACCCATGCCAACTGCACAGCAGCACAGCAGCACAGCAGCTTAGCAGCTTGGCCTGCATGCCCGCAGCAGTCCATGCCCAAAGCACCCTTAGCAGCACTTCCCCCAACAAGAATGCGCCTGTGGTGCCCGAGGCAGCAAACAGGATCTATGGCAACTGGGAACTTCATTGAAACGACAAACGCTGTGGAACGTGATCATGACAAATTTGGACCTCATTTTGGGGTGTCGGGGTGCCCGGTGTTTGCCCTCGGTATGCCTTGGTTTGCCCTTGGCCCGCGACATTGCAGAGACTAGACCTTTGGGCAAAGCCTCACTCGCAAAAAAATCACAGCCTTTGAACTGTCGAGTGCAGATACGTATATATATAATTGTATCTATATGCAAGTCTGTACAGTATGTATATCTATATATGTATATATATATGCATATGTATGTGTCTCTCTATATCTATTTTGATGTACGTATTATATATATACATATGCATATACATATACATATACATATACATACATATATATATAATATAATATAATGTAATATAAGATAAGATAAAATAATACAATATAATACAATATAATATAATATAATATGATATAATATGATATGATATGATATGACATGATATACCAAAACATGATATGATATGATATAATATAATAACTTATAACATAACATAGCATAATTTAAAAACACATGATATAATATTAATATAATATAATAGTATAACATAACATAATATAACAGAACATAACATAATATAACAGGACATAACATAACATAATATAACATAATATAATATAAACAATCTAATATGTGTGCGTGTTTTGTTTAGTAGCAGCCAGTCCAGAAAAGAATGACACAATAAAGGGCTGAACCTGCAGCTGATTTTCTTGCTCGTTTTGAAAATTTTGCGAAAACTTCGAGAAAACAAACAACAAATCTGTTCAAAGATTGTCTGGTCTGACGTTCATGTTTGTTTGTTTTTTGGAGTTGTCCCGCATTCTTTTGGCCTGAACATCGAAAAACAGGAGACTCAAGTTGTGTATGTTCTTTGGATACAATGTGCGGAAATCAAATTGTGAAAAACGAAGACAAGTCAAGTCCTTTGTGTTCCTTTCGTGGTTATGGTTAAATTTTCTTCCAGGCTGTGGAATGAAAAGCAAAAAATGTTTTTTCACATTGAATTCCGCACTTGCATCCAAAAAAAGAAACAATGCAGCACGGAAAGCAGCTGGGCCACACAATTGGTTTTCCGACCAGTTGGAACCATTTGCCACTTCTTTTTTTCCAAATGCTTTGCCCAAATTTGGAAGATTTGCCTTCAAGGTGCCCCGCTGCCTGGAGGCTTGGCAAAATGTTCAAAACCTGCACGAAAAAAAAGAAAAGCAACAAAAAAAGCAAAGAAAATAAGTTATAGTTATAGCCACTTTGGGGGATCCCATGATCTCAGAGACGGAGGTAAAATGGAGTACTGGCGTGTTGCTTTCTTCTTTCTGCTCGAGCTTGTTGCAGTATTAATTGTCAGGTTTGCCTTTTGTTGTTTCTCAAAGCTTCATTCCTTCAAACGAGGGCAGTCTTTTTGTAAAGAAATAAATGTCATCCAAATGTCCAGTATTTCTTCCAGAGGTAACCTTCCTCTAAAAATTTGAGTGTTTTTGGAGGAGTTAAGCCTGGTTTGAACAAAACATGAACGGTCGAAAGCTGCTGGTTTTCATTTAAGAAATATTCCAGCAGAACATAGAGTGGCCTTTTAACAAATGCTATGCTATGCTTCCTTTAACAAAGTCAAATAGTGATGAAACACTTGTAATATGTGTTGATACTTTTACATTGCGAGAAGCGCAGTCCCATTGGTTGAAAAGCAAATTGATCATTTACAGGATGGAACATTTCAGCATTCTTTTGAAGAAGTTTTGACTCTCTCAAGGAAACATGTTTCATTTCCAAGATGGTACTCCTTTCAAACAACTTAAGTATATACTCTTTCAGAAGCACAGCATGCTGTTCAGGAACCAGTATTCTTACAAAATATGTAGCAGCATCCGTTTCAATTGCAAGGTTTCTTGTGAATGCAGTATTGGGAGAAAAAACAGGATCCCTTTGAAAATCTTGAAGCAGCCTGTCAAAGAAGTGCAGTTTTCTCTTCAAGAAACAATGAGTTTGAAGATTAGCTACCCTCTTGCTTACAACTATATTGTGCATGAAGGATACTACTTTCTCTCAAAGTCTTAAGGAAGCACCTGAGGTTTTGAAGATGCAGTATTGCTTTTGGGGAAAAAATGTAGCTTCCTCTTGAAACAAACCCTTTTGACTACTAGTCTGCAGGATGCAGCAACCGCTTGAAATGCACGATTTCTTCAAAAGAGGCAGCATTTCCTTGAAACAATCAACGGCAACACCCCTTTCGAATCTGAAGCAGTTTGAAAGAAGTGCAGTTTTCTCTTCCAGACTCAACTTTGGTGTTAAAGATGGACGCTTTTTTGACACAAATGAAGGGCCATTTTTGCGTGTATTAATTCAAGTGTGGGGAACCGTGGAACCTTTCACCAAGTTGAGTATGTACGTCGACTTCGTTGAAAAACACGATGGTCACCTACAGGACGTAGCATTCCTTCAAAAACATGAAAACATGCAGCATTCCCTTAAAGAAGTGTTGTTTCTCTCAAGGAGACATGTTTTATCTTCAAGATATATGCAAAAAAAATGTCAGTTCCTCTTTGAACAACGAACTTTCACCACCAGCATGCAGTACTCCTTTCAAACAACTTAAGTATATACTCTTTCAAAAGCACAGCATGCTGTTCAGGAACCAGTATTCTTACAAAATATGTAGCATCCGTTTCAATTGCAAGGTTTCTTTTGAAGATGTAGTACTCCTTGAACAAACCTGGAGCTTGTAGAATTGATTCTGATACTGAAAATACAGCATTTCTTTAGACAAGTGTAGTTTTGTTTTAGCTGTGCAGCACCAGCCTCAAAGATCATTTTGTTTCTGTTCACTAAAGGTACCGGCATCGAAAGGACAAGCAAGGACAAAAACGGTGGACATTTGGGGGGCTGTAGCATGTGTGTATATTATATATATGTTTAACATCTATGATGTGTGTGTGTGGGTGTGTATGCTGACAATGATGTATCTATATATACACACATGCGCATTTTAATATTGTGTCTAATTACGTACATAATGGCAAGACGAAATGGGTCGGACTGCTCTGCAGCCAACCACGTCTTGTTTGCTTGAGTCATTGTGTTGAACGCTTGCTTGTTTGACATAAGCCCAAAAGGCATATGACTTGCTAACGTGGAAATTGAATACTGAGTTGCAAGGTGCCATAGTAGCGAGACAACTTAAACATGAAGTGGCCATGAATGGCCATGACCTTCTGTGATTTGCTGTCAGCTTGCAGCTCATTGCAGTTAGGCAACTGAACCGTTCATGGAGAAAACATCCCAATCTTCTGCTTGCAACCTCCTGGAGTAGCCGAGGCGAAGAAATCCCAGCCATGACAAGAACATTGGCTTGGCAAGCATTCGATTCACGGAACGGCAAACGACTGTGCAAAGGATCACAAAGGTCTCCTTTCAGACTCTCCATCTTTGTGTTCAGAACTCTCTGAACTCTCCATCTCCTCTTTGCTCTTCTCAACAACCAGGTCAAATTTTGGCCTTGCAATCGATCACATCAGATCGATCTCCCACTGATTTCACGTTGGACCTGGGGCTCTTGCAGCAAACCTGTATTTTGGCCAAGAATGGAAAGTCCGAGGAGGAGCCTCACACAACGCCGTTCCACGTGAAATTTTCACGTTTGTTTGGGGTAGTTGTGGCGTGTGGCGTTTCGAGCCAAGTGAGCCAGGCAAGCCGTTCCTGCAGCCTTTGCTTTTCGTACTTTGTTGGGCGTGACAATCGTGCAATGCTCGTTGCTTGCTTTACCATGCTTTACATTCCGTTGACAACGCCACAAATCAATAGTTAGTTGAGACCCTCACCAGCTGAGTTGGCTGACCTGAAAGGAAGGCTATGGCAGTTGCAAATCGCATCTAAGCATATCTTAGGATATCGAAGTATCGAAGCAATGTGATTTCACTCCTACGTCCTGGATATATACATTTACAATCACCTGAGAAGGGGGGACGAAAGCCAGCCACGAGCCCGAATTTTTTGTTTCTGCAGAGAAATGTCGTGGTAGTTGTTTAAATGGAAAACTCTGTTGATCCCTATTGTAAGCATCCTCAACCCACTGGTTAATCATCATATTTCAAACTCAATCGTCATATACAAAAAACCCAAACGTCCTCTTACAATCACCCCAAACGTCCTCTTACAATCCCGTATGAACTAGGTTAGAAGCCCAAACCATCTGCAGCGTCTTTGGAAGACTTCTGCTTGCTTTGCAACCCTTCGCCCCCCCTTTATCACTTCGCTGCTCTCCGTTGAGCTTCGGAGTTCCTCCATTTTCCCCCTTCGTTTAACGATTTTCCTTCACTTTCTTTCGTTTTTTCAGGATTTGGCCCCAAACGGCCGTTTCCCAATGATCCCAGAAGAGAAATTCAATAGGCGGCCGAGGGGCCGCCAAATGGCAGAAATTTGCTCCCGTGACCTCCCGGCTAGGATTTGGCCCAAAACGGCCGTTTCCCAATGATCCCAGAAAAGAAATTCAATAGCCGACCGAAGGGCCGCTAAATGGCAGAAAGTTGCTCCCATGCCTTCCCGTAACCTCGCGTAGCCAACTGTCACCTCCCTCCCATACAGAGACAGGCACAGACACAGACAGACATACACACAGCACTCTACACTTTAAAATCTACACTTTACACTCTACACTTTACACTCCACGCTCCACACTCAACAGTCTACACTTTACATTCTACACTTTACACTCTACACGTTACACTCTACACTCCACACTCCACATTTTACACTCCACACTCTACACTTTACACTCTACTCTTTACACTTTACACTCCACACTCCACACTCTACACTTTACACACTACACTTTACACTCTACACTTTACATTCCACGCTCCACACTCTACACTTTACACACTACACTTTACACTCGACACTCTTCACTCTACACTCCATACTTTACACTTTACACTTTACACTTTACACTCCTCACTCCTCACTGCCCACTTTACACTCCACACTCCACTCCACACTCTACACTTGACACTCTACACTTTACACTCTACACTCCACACTTTGCACTTTACACTTTACATTCCACACTCCACACTTTACACTCCACACTCCAGGGCCGCTAAATGGCAGAAAGCTGCTCCCATGCTTCCCCGTAACCTCGCGTAGCCAACTGTCACCTCCCTCCCATACAGAGAGAGGCACAGACACAGACAGACATACACACATCACTCTACACTTTACACTCTACACTTTACACTCTACACTTTACACTCCCTGCTCAACACTCCGCAGTCTACACTTTACACTATACACTTTACACTCTACACTTTACACTCCTCACTCCACACTTTAAACACTCCACACTCTACACTTTACACCGTCTACACTTTACACTTTACGCTTTACACTCCACACTCCACACTCTACACTTTACACACTACACTTTACACTCTACACTTTACACTCCACACTCCACACTCTACACTTGACACACTACACTTTACACTCGGCACTCTTCACTCTACACTCCATACTTTACACTTTACACTTTGCACTCCTCACTCCTCACTGCACACTTTACACTCCACACTCCACACTTTACACTCCACACTCTAGACTTTCCACTCTACACTTTACACTCTACACTCTACACTCCACACTTTGCACTTTACACTTTGCACTCCACATTTTACACTCCACACTCCACACTCTACACTTTACACACTACGCGTTACACTCTACACTCTTCACTCGACACTCCATACTTTACACGTTACACTTTACACTCCTCACCCCTCACTGCACACTGCACACTTTACACTCCACACCCCACACTTTACACTCCACACTCCACACTTTACACTCCACACTCTACACTTTACACTCTACACTCCACACTTTCCACTTTAGACTTTACACTCCATACTCCACACTTTACACTCCACACTCCACACTCTACACTTTACACTCCACACTACACACTCTACACTTTTCACCACACATTACACTCTACACTCTTCACTCTCCACTCCATTCTTTACACTTTACACTTTACACTTTACACTCTTCACTCCTCACTGCACACTTTACACTCCACACTCCACACTTTACACTCCACGCTCTACACTTTCCACTCTACACTTTACACTCTACACTCTACACTCCACACTTTGCACTTTACACTTTACACTCCACACTTTACACTCCACACTCCACACTCTACACTTTACACACTACACGTTACACTCTACACTCCACACTTTCCACTTTACACTTTACACTCCACACTCTACACTCTACACTCCACACTCCACACTCTACACTTTACACAACACATTACACTCTACACTCTTCACTCTCCACTCCATACTTTACACTTTACACTTTACACTCCTCACCCTCACTGCACACTTGACGCTCCACACTCTACACTTTACACTCTACACTTTACACTCTACACGCTACACTCCACACTTTACACTTTACACTGTACACTCCTCACTCCACACTCCACACTGTACACTCCACACGCTACACTTTAAACTCTACACTTGACACTCTACACTCTACACTCCACACCTTACACTTTACACTGTACACCCCTCACTCCACACGCCATACTCGACACTTTACACTCTACATTATTCTTTACACTTTACACTCCAGACTCCACACTCCACACTCTACACTTTACACACTACACTTTACACTCTACACTGTACACGCCACACTCCACACGCTACACTTGACACACTTCACTTTACACTCGACACTCTTCATTCTACACTCCATACTGTACACTTTACACTTTACACTCCTCACTCCTCACTGCACACTTTACACTCCACGCTCCACACTTTACACTCCACACTCTACACTTTACACTCTACACTTCACACTCGACACTCTTCACTCTACACTCCATACTTTACACTTTACACTTTACACTCCACACTCCTCACTGCACACATTACACTCCACACTCCACACTTTACACTCCACACTCTACACTTTACACTCTACACCTTACACTCTACACTCTACACTCCACACTTTACATTTTACACTGTACACACCTCATTCCATAGTGGGTGAAAGATTGTATGTTACGCCACACCTTACTCCACACTCGACACTCCACACGTTCCACTCCACACTTCACACCCTACACTTTACACTTGACACTCCAGACTTTACACTTGACGCTCTGCACTTTACACTTTACACTCTGCCCTTTACACTCTACCCTCTACGCTCCACACTTTACACTTTGCACTGTACACTCCCCCCACAACAGTCAATCTCCACCCCCTACTGTCATGATCCGCAGCCTGCTGATTCATCGTCTACTAGAAGCCCAAACCAGCTGCAGCACCTTTGGAATTGTTATCCTTGCTTTGCAATCCTTCACTACCCCTTCCTCAGTATCACTTCTCATCCCCTTGCAAACTCTCTTGTTCCGAACCCCAATGAACGCTGCTCTCCGTTGAGCCACTTTACACTGTACAGTCCCCCCACAACAGTCAATCTCCATCCCCTACTGTAATGATCCTCAGCCCGTGAGTTCATCGTCTACTAGAAGCCCAAACCATCTGCAGCACCTTTGGAATTGTTATCCTTGCTTTGCATCCCTTCGCCACCCCTTCCTCAGTATCACTTCTCATCCCCTTGCAAACTCTCTTGTTCCGAACCCCAACGAACGCTGCTCTCCGTTGAGCTTCGGAGTTCCTCCATTTTCCTCCGTTTTCCGCCTACTTTGGGCGATTTTCCTTCATTTTCTGTCGTTGTTTTCCTACCTTTTTCCTGTCATTCCTCCATTTTCCTCCATTTTCCCTTTGTTTTCAACGATTTTCCTTCATGTTCCTTGTTCCCGAGAGCGTCTGAGCGCAGGGTTCTTCCAATAGTGGGGGTCTGTATCTCATCTTCTCATCTTCACATCTTCTCATCTTCACATCCTCTCATCTTCACATCTTCTCATCTTCACATCTTCTCATCTTCACTTCTTCTCATCTTCACATCTTCTCATCTTCACATCTTCTCACTTCACACCTTCTCATCTTCACATCTTCTCATCTTCACATCTTCTCATCTTCACATCTTCTCATCTTCACATCTTCTCATCTTCACATCTTCTCATCTTCACATCTTCTCATCTTCACATCTTCTCCCTCACATCTTCTCATCTTCACATCTTCTCATCTTCACTTCTTCTCATCTTCACATCTTCTCATCTTCACATCTTCTCACTTCACACCTTCTCATCTTCACATCTTCTCATCTTCACATCTTCTCATCTTCACATCTTCTCATCTTCACATCTTCTCATCTTCACATCTTCTCACTTCACATCTTCTCATCTTCACATCTTCCTCACATCTTCTCATCTTCACATCTTCTCATCTTCACATCTTCTCATCTTCACATCTTCTCACTTCACATCTTCTCATCTTCACATCTTCTCATCTTCACATCTTCTCATCTTCACATCCTCTCATCTTCACATCTTCACATCTGCTCATCTTCACATCTTCACATCTTCTGCTCATCTTCACATCTTCATATCTTCACATCTGCTCATCTTCACATCTTCTCCCTCACATCTTCACATCTTCACATCCTCACATCTTCACATCTTCTCCTCTTGCCCTCTTGCCCTCTTTCCCTCTTGCCCTCTTGCCCCTCCTGCCCTCTCCTTCTTTTCTATTTCTCTTCTGAAGGCGGGGGCAGGGGCAGTGCCAACGAGACGGCACGAAACGCAACCCTTTCGCACGAAACGAAGTTCGATCGCCAAAAACTGAGGTAAAATTGCGATTTCAAGGTGTCCCGCGCAACCTTTTCGCACGAAATGAAGTTCGATCGCCAAAAACTGAGGTAAAATTGCGATTTCAACTTGTCCGGCGCAACCCTTTCGCACAAAACGAGGTTCGATCGTCAAAAACTGAGGTAAAAGTGCGAGTCCAAGTCGTCCCGCGCAACCCTTTCGCACGAAACGAGGTTCGATCGTCAAAAACTGAGGTAAAATTGCGATTTCAAGGTGTCCGCCGCAACCCTTTCGCACGAAACGAGGTTCGATCGTCAAAAACTGAGGTAAAATTGCGATTTCAAGGTGTCCGGCGCAACCCTTTCGCACGAAATGAGGTTCGATCGTCAAAAACTGAGGTAAAATTGCGATTTCCGGGTTCCCGTAATGAGGGTCGATCGCCAAAAACGGAGGTAAAATTGCGATTTTTCTGTGTGTACAAAGCTTCTGTGTGCTGTGTGTCAAAGCTTCTGTGTGCAAAAGCATCTGTGCAAAAGCGTCTGTGTAAAAGCTTCTGTGTGTAAGCTTCTGTGTGCTCTGTGTGTAAAAGCGTCTGTGTGTAAAAGTTTCTGTGTGTAAAGGTATCTGTGTGTAAAAGCTTCTGTGTGTAAAAGTGTTTGTGTAAAAAGCGTCTGTGTAAAAGCTTCTGTGTGTACAATCTTCTGTGTGTAAAAGCCTCTGTGTGTAAAAGCTTCTGTGTGTAAACGAAGCCTACCGTCACCTCTTTGCGTAGTGGTACATGCCCCCAAAAAAAGTTCAATTTGGACGCCCTCCACTGCGACTAATTTCGAAATTTTGCCTCCTCACGCGACGTCCACCCCCCAGACCCCCTAATCCTCACTTCGTTCGCCAAAACAACTTTGCCTAGCCTATCGGCTGGCTTTCGTAATAATACTCCACACCTTATACGCCACACTCCACACTGCATACTCCATACTCCACACCCAACAGACGCTGCTCTCTCCATTGCGCTTCAAAGTTCCGCCATTTTCCCTCGCACTCCTCACTGCACACTTTACACTCCATACTGCACACTTGACACTCCACACTCTACACTCTACACTCGACACTTCACACTCGACACTCTACACTCCACATTTTACACTTGACACTGTACACTCCTCACTACATGCTGGGTGAAAGATTGTATGTCACTCCACACAGTACACTCCACTTTACGCTCTACACTCGACACTCTATCCTCCAAACTTTGCACTTTACAATTTACACTCCACAATGAAGACTTTGCACTCCACACTTTACACTCCATAGTCTACACTTTACACACTACACTTGACACTCTACACTCTTCACTCTCCACTCCAGACTTTTCACTTTACACTTTAAACTCCTCACTCATCACTGCACACTTTACACTCCACACCGCACACTTTACACTCCACACTCTACACTTTACACTCTACACTTTACACTCTACACTCTACACTCCACACTTTACATTTTACACTGTACACACCTCACTCCATAGTGGGTGAAAGATTGTATGTTACGCCACACCTTATACTCCACACTCCACACTCCACACTTTCCACTCCACACTTCACCCTCTAACACTTTACACTTGACACTCCAGACTTTACACTTGACGCTCTGCACTGTACACTTACACTCTGCCCTTTACACTTTACCCTCTACACTCCATACTTTACACTTTGCACTGCACACTCCCCACACAACAGTCAATCTCCACCCCCTACTATCATGATCCTCAGCCTGTTGATTCATCGTCTACTAGAAGCCCAAACCAGCTGCAGCACCTTTGGAATTGTTATCCTTGCTTTGCAATCCTTCACTACCCCTTCCTCAGTATCACTTCTCATCCCCTTGCAAACTCTCTTGTTCCGAACCCCAATGAACGCTGCTCTCCGTTGAGCCACTTTACACTGTACAGTCCCCCCACAACAGTCCCTCTCCACCCCCTACTGTAATGATCCTCAGCCCGCTGGTTCATCGTCTACTAGAAGCCCAAACCATCTACGGCACCTTTGGAATTGTTATCCTTGCTTTGCAACCCTTCGCCACCCCTTCCTCAGTATCACTTCTCATCCCCTTGCAAACTCTTTTGTTCCGAACCCCAACGAACGCTGCTCTCCGTTGAGCTTCGGAGTTCCTCCATTTTCCTCCGTTTTCCCCCTGCTTTGGACGATTTTCCTTCATTTTCTGTCGTTGTTTTCCTACCTTTTTCCTGTCATTCTGCATTTTCCCCCTGTTTTCAACGATTTTCCTTCATTTTCCTTGGTTTTTTCCTCCCTTTTTCCTGCCGGAGTCAACGGACCTAGGGGAATCGAAGCCTACCGTCACCTCTTTGCGTAGTGGTACATGCCCCCAAAAAAAGTTCAATTTGGATGCCCTCCGCTGCAACTAATTTCGAGATTTTGGCACCACACGCGACGTCCACCCCCCAGACCCCCTAATACTCACCTCGTTCGCCAAAACAACTTTGCCTAGCCTATCGGCTGGCTTTCGTAATTTACAATCATTTACATTGAGAAGTATTCTGTCAGCGTCTCAAATATTCATCCCATTGCACGATCTGGACAACACTGAACACTTGGGTCACAATTGCTGACTCGCACAAGGCAAGGGCCCTGGTCACAGACAAGAGAACTCGCCAAGGCAATCGTCGTTCTCGCTCCCTTGGCACTCCGTACTGATCAAGCACTGTCAAGCAGTGCAATTTTATGCAATTTTTACATGAAATCTATCCCTCAGACTCTCTCACATTTCTGTGCCAGTCTCCACTTCCCTTGCTTTCTCTCTTGCAGTATTTGTTGTAGGAATTGTGGGCATCAGGCATTGGTCTTCTCCGCTTGTTGCAGCATCGCAGAACATAGAAGCAGGATTCCACAATCATCTGAGATGCGGAAAAGCCGATAGCCACGAAGCTATTCTGTAGGATGCTTTCGAGACTTGGAACAAATGTTATAGGTATATATTGCGCATCCTTTGAGAACATTTAAGAACAGCATAGAAAACAATGCAAGGAGGAAGTGTGTGGAAAAGAAGTTTATGGCAACTGATTGCGATTCTAAGGATCTCGCTGTTCTTGTATTAAGTTCCAGATCGCTGTCCTCACTTCGTATCAAATCTTCCCTGGTCACAGCACACGCCGAACAGATTTGGCATGCTCCAACATGTTCTTCGGTGTTCAACATCTTTGCACGGCCAAACCACATTTGTTTCAACTTCGTATTCTCACATGAAACAGCTGTCTTTTGACATCTTCAAATCCAAGTCGTTCTCAATAGCATTGGATTGCCTCCATGCAGGTTGATCTGTGGTTCTCTGGCACGGGCTCTGGAACGGGCTCTGGCACGGGCACTACCAGTATCAAATGAACCAAAATCACCTGGCCTGCCATGGAAAAGGTCCGTCACAGTTTGCTCTGCATCTTTCACTAATGTGCTTACCTGTCGAAGCAGCGGCTCTGGCTTAATCTAGAACAGGAAACTACGGGGCCTACAGTCTCTTGATGTTCCTTGTCTGCATGGCAGAATCTGCTGCAAAGAAACAGTAGTATAGTCAGTATAGTACACAGCAGTACACAGTACTACACAGTAGTACACTTGTACTTGTACGGACTCGCGTGGTTTGCGTTCTAGGATATTCTTGCGTAACAGCTACCTAGCACTGTCACGGCAGGGCGACCCAGCCCTCTCAGAGCATGCTCTGCAAACACACTAAAGCCAAAGGCACAGCTCAACTACCCTTGCCAGGTCCCAGACTAATTAACAGAGCCTACCATTAATCGGTAAGATTATGGGCAAACCCCCTCTCTTGCCCGCGCCGACATCCACCACGTGTCCGAACGTCAAGAAACAGTGAGTTTTGTGGGACAAAAATGCACATGTCCAGGATCATGGCTTTCATCTTGCAACGCACAGCTTAGCTACCTGTGCGTTGAATGTTACATCATCATCATCATCAACAACAACAACAACAGCATCGTCATCAACAACATCATCAACATATCCAACATCATCAACGTCATCAACATTATCAACCCTAAACCCTAAAACCCTAAACCCCAAACTCCTTAAAAATTCCCTTGAATTCAAAGTTTAACGGGGTGGGGATTTGATGATTCCCTAGAAACTTTGTTGAAATATCTTTAAGATTCCTTGAATCAATGTCCTCTGAATCCCTAAAAAGTTGTGTGTGGGCAAAAGAGGGGGTTTGCGCGTAAGATTACAAAGCGTCATAAATCATAGCTGGATTCGCTAACAATAGATAGGTGCGTTCCTGCAATCGAAACGCCTGTGTAAGACTAAGCACACCCTGATCATCTTCCGGTTTCCAGACCTCGGGAACGCTGCCAAGGTGTTGGCATGATCTGTCAATATCTTGAGGTTCTAAGCTTTTGAAGCTCTATTGATGAACTTCCACGGATCAAATGCCTTCAATGCCAAACAATGGCCACGGAATTGGAGCTGCCCAGAACGGAATACCTGTCACCGACTGTATCTTGGTAGCGCCTAAACTCAATTAACATCAAGGTCAGCCCCTGTTAGCTACAAATAAGATTTCGAGGCCCAAAACAAGAAGCATGACATCACAGGCCGTCTTCCGGTTCCAGTTACTGAGAGATCGGCAAATTCCATGCTTTCCAAATGATAGTAGTATGTCTGCCAAGTTGCACAAGGACAAAGGCAAATGCTTGCAGACTGCGCATCTCAACCAAAGCATTATTATATGTGTGTTTATATATAGTACAAACATATGTATATCAGCACACATATCTCGTCTTCCGACCGCGAGGTACCCCCCAAATGGTATGGGTCCCCAGGTAGCACCCCGTTCCTTTCTATTTGCAAGCTATTGACAGCATTTCTGAGGTCCAGCCTCGTATTTGCTAGGTTTTTGTAGCGATTTTGACTACCGGCCTCGCATTTACTAGGTACATGCTACCGTTTAGACGACATACGTAGCACACATACTCCCTCAAAGTACCTACGTGCTACCTATAGTTATATATACACGTGCTATGTATCTACTTCAAATATTTATATATATATATATGTATAGATATATATATATATATTTATTTATTTATTTATATTATAGTAGACACATACATACATATATATACATACATATACATACATACATACATACACACACATATTTATATATATACACATATTCATATCTATACATATGTAGGAGAGACCTTTCTGTACTATTTGACGTCCTTACTAATCTTCATTATTTTAATGTACAAGAAAAAAAATCTTTATTTTCTTTATTTTCTATTTTCCTGCAGCCCCAAAAAGAAAATAAAGAAAATAAAGAAAATACATCTTTATTTACTTTATTTTCTGTATTTTCCTGGGGCCTCAAGAAGAAAATGAAGAAAATAAAGAAAATAAATCTTTATTTTCTCCATCTTTATTTTCCTGAAGCCTCAAAAAGAAAATGAAGAAAATAGACCCTTATTTTCTTTATTTTCCTGGAGCCTCCAAAAGAAAATAAAGCAAATAAAGAAAATAAATCGGTGTTTTCTTTATTTTCCTGGAGTCCCAAGCAGAAAAAATGAAATCTTTATTTTCTGTATTTTCGTTATTTTCTTTATTTTCTTTATTTTCTTTTCCAGGTGTCCAGCAGGAAGGAATCTATAGAAAATGGAGATTTATTTTCTTTATTTTCTTTATTTACCTGGAGCTTCAAAAAGAAAATAAAGGAAATGAAGAAAAAAAATAATTTCTTTATTTTCCTGAAGCCTCAAAAAGAAAATAAAGAAAATGAAGAAAAATAAAGAAAATAAAGAAAATAAAGATTTAATTACTTTATTTTCTTGATTTTCCTGGCGCCTCAAAAAAAAGATAAAGAAAATAAAGAAAATATACCTTTATTTTCTTTGTTTTCTTTGTTTTCTTTATTTTCCTGGGGCCTCAAAAAGAAAAATAAAGAAAATAAATCTTTACTTTCTTTATTTTCTTTAGTTGCCTGGAGTCCCAAAAAGAAAATGCTCTGGAGGATTAAAAGGATTAAAAGGATTAAGTCATTTAATCCGTTTAATCCTTTTAATCCTCCAGAGATCTGGAATCTAAGGCCCAAGCATTGGATTAAATGATTTAATCCTTTGAATCCTTTTAATCCCCCAAAGGCCCTTGAGGATTAAAAGGATTAAATCAGTTAAACCAATGCTTGGGCCTTAGATTCCAGATCTCTGGAGGGTTAAAAGGATTAAAAGGATTAAACGGGTTAAATCATTTAATCCAATGCTTGGGCCTTAGGTTCCAGATCTCTGGAGGATTAAAAGGATTAAAAGGATTAAAAGGATTAAATGACTTAATCCTTTTAATCCTTTTAATCCCCCATCAAGAAAATAAAGAAAATAAATACTTATTTTCTATAGTTTTCATCCTGCTGGACACCTGAAAATCAATCTGTATTTTCTTTATTTGCTTTATTTTCGTTATTTTCCTGGAGCCTCAAAAACAAAAAATAAAGAAAATAAATCTTTATTTTCTTTATTCACTTTTCCAGGTGTCCAGCAGGATGGAATCTATAGATTCTTTATTTACCTGGAGCTTCAAAAAGAAAATAAAGAAAATAAAGAAAATAAATCTTTATTTTCTATATTGTTTTCATCCCGCTGGACACCTGGAAAAGTAGATAAAGAAAATAAAGAAAATAACGAAAATAAAGAAAATAAAGATCTATTTCCTTATTTTCTTTATTTTCTTGGAGCCTCAAAAAGAAAAAAAGAAAATAAAGAAACTAAATCTTTATTTTCTTTATTTACTTTTCCAGGTGTCCAGCAGGATGGAATCTATAGAAAATAAATCTTTATTTCCTTCATTTTCGTTATTTTCCTGAAGCCTCGAAAAGAAAATGAAGAAAATAAATCTCTAGTTTCTTTATTTTCTTTCTTTTCCTGGAGCCCCAAAAAGAAAATGAAGAAAAAAGAACTTTATTTTCCTTATTTTCTTCATTTTCTTTATTTTCTTTATTTTCTTTATTTTCTTTATTTTCTTTATTTTCTTTATTTTCTTTTCCAGGTGTCCAGCAGGATGGAATCTATAGCTTAGAAAATAAAGATCTATTTTCTTTATTTTCTATATTTTCCTGGAGCCTCAAAAAGAAAATAAAGAAAATAAAGAAAACAAATATTTATTTTCTATAGTTTTCATCCTGCTGGACGCCTGGAAAAGTAAATAAAGAAATAAAGAAAATGAAGAAAATGTTTTTTTGCTTTATTTTCCTGGAGTCCCAAAAAGAAAATGAAGAAAATAAGGAAAATAGATCTATATTTTCTTGATTGTCTTTATTTTCTGTATTTTCTTCATTCTTTATTTTCTTTATTTACTTTTGCAGGTGTCCAGCAGGATGGAATCTATAGAAAATAAAGATCTATTTTCTTTATTTACCTGGAGCCTCAAAAAGAAAAAATAAAGAAAATAAATCTTTATTTTCTTTACTTTCTTTATTTTCCTGAAGCCTCAAAAAGAAAATAAAGAAAATAAATAAGACGCATCCCTCATGCGTCAGACGCGGGTTCAATACCCGGGTGCAACACTAGGCGGACAGGCGGGCCACTACTCCACCCCTGCAGTTAAGGGGATGAGCTAGGGCGTGGTCCGCAAAACACTCTCCATCCTGCTGGACACCTGGAAAAGTAAATAAATAAAATAAAGAAAATAATACATAAATAAAATAAAATAACTAAAGTTGTTTTTTCTTCGTTTTCTGTTTTTTTGGTGGGCTCCAAGAAAATAAAGAAAATAAAGAAAATAAATCTATATTTTCATTATTTTCTTGATTTCTTTATTAACTTTTCCAGGTGTCCCGCAGGATGAAAACTATAGAAAATAGAGATGTGTTTTCTTTATTTCTTTTATTTTCCTCGGGCCTCAAAAAGAAAATAGAGAAAATAAGGAAAATAATGATCTATTTTCTATAGATTCCATCCTGCTGGACACCTGGAAAAGTTAATAAAGAAAATCAAGAAAATAAAGATTTATTTTCTTTATTTTCCTGAAGCCTCAAAAACGAAAACAGAGAAAATAAAGAAAATAAATCGTTATGTTCTTTATTTTCCTGGAGCACCAAAAAGAAAATAAAGAAAATAAAGAAAAATTATTTTCATTTTTTCATAGTTTTTCTTTATTTTCTGTATTATCTCTTTCCAGGTTCCCAGCAGGATCGAATCTATAGAATCTATAGCAAATAAAAATATATTTATTTTTCTTTATTCACCTAGAACCTCAAAAAGAAAAAAAGAAAATAAAGAAAATAAATCTTTGTTTTCGTTATTTTCCTAGACCCTAAAAAAGAAAATACAGAAAATCAAGAACATAGATCTTGTTTTCTTGATCTTCCTGGAGTCTCTAAATGAAAAAAGAAAACAAAGAAAATACATGTTTATTTGTTAATAAAGAAAATCAAGAACATATATTTTTATTTTTTCTTTATTTTCTTTATTTACCTGGAACCTCAAAAAATATAAAAGAAAATAAAGCAAATAAATCGTAATTATCTTCATTTTCTTTATTCTCTTTAATAACTGTTCCAGGTGTCCAGCAGGATGGAACCTATAGAAAATGGAGATTTATTTTCTTTATTTTCCAGAAGCCTCAAAAGAGGAAGGCAAGAAGCTGTGGAGAAGCGGCGAGGCAAGGCGTAGAGAATCCCAAGAGGTGGGAAGACATTGGCACATGCAGAAAAGCAATGAAGAGCATACACTTTACATTGCATGCAAGACAAAATGCCTTGGCCCGCCCTATGCTTTATAATGGTGCCACCGTTTTTGAATCGTGTCCAAAGAGAATTATTCCAACGAACATTTGAAATAGTTTCAAAGAGAAATTAAAAGGAAATTGATCTTTGCAAGCAAATTTCAGAAGGAACCGAAAAATACAATTTCATTAGGAATTTAAATTTCGAAAAGGAAATGTACAAAGGCCAGCATACATATGACAGCAAACTTGAACGAAAACCAAAGGAAATGCAGCCATGAATTTAAAGAAACATTGAAAAGGAGATGAATATGGAGATCGGATTTTAGACTAGCCTTTCCTATGGAATAGTAATTGAGGTCCTCAGAAGCGAGAAGGAAATGTGAAAGGGTGAAGCCGCGGCAAATGAAATCAAAATTAACCTTCGGACAGTTATTGTAGGTCTTGTAAGGATTTTTTCCCAAACCCCGTCATTCTATACATAAAGGTCGATCCCGCCTTCCGACCACGAGGTCTCCCCCCCAATGGGTTGGGTCAGTATATAACTACTACTAAGTACTAACTACTACTAACTACTAACTACTACTAACTACTACTAACTACTGCGAACTACTGCAAACTACTAACTAACTCACTAACTAACTCACTAACTAACTCACTAACTAACTAACTAAACTAAACTAAACCTAACTAACCTAAACTAAACTAAACTAAACTAGACTAAACTACACTAAACTAACAAACTAACTAACTAACTAAACTAACTAAACTAACTAACTAACTAACTACCTACCTACCTACCTACCTACCTAACTAACTAACTAACTAACTAAACTAACTAACTAACTAACTAACTAATTAACTAACTAATAATTAACTAACTAACTAACCAACTAACTAATTAACTAACTAATAATTAACTAACTAACTAACTAACTAACCAA